TTTTACAATAAAGAATTTTTCTTTATATATATATATATATATATATATATATATATATATATATATATACATTTCTAAGAAGTAATTCTAAAAGAAAAAAGAAAATAAAATGCATTACCAGACTCTGTGTTGAAGGTCACTGGTTTGCTGGGGGGCCCTTCACCGAGTTCATTCTTGGGCTTCACCTTGAATTCATAACTGTAAGGTAAGACAAAGACAGGTGATGGAGCATTACGTTTCTGATTTGATCCACATAAAACCATTAGATATATTCCATTTCACATCTAATGTTATATGCCTGACACAGCAGGCAGTCTGCTTAATTTAAAATGATTAAAAAAGGATTTCTGTATTGGAAACCTGGTGGGTTGTTGTCAAATTCCAAGCAAAACGAGGTTCTTATTTCCTGTCTTCTGAGCCCTGACACTTGATATATTTATTCTGCAGAGTCTGAAGACTCAAAGTCTGTGGCCCCCTTTTAATGGATCCTCCATGTGTGATGTAGAGACATTACCAAAGCCCACATGCCTCGAGATGCAGTCCATAGCAAGCACTGGTTTATATTGTGTCACCAGATCTTGAGCCTATATTCAGCCTCATTAAAAAGCTAGCAAGCGTGGCGGCTCCCCGACAGCCAGACCACAGAGCACACGTCCAACACCTTGTCCAGACCTCAGGATGCATGTAAGTCCTAACACCCCTGGTATTTGACACCCACATCAACTAAAATACATCTATCAAATTCAGCAGGGTGCCTTAAATAGAGAGGTTGGAGTTCTGCATTGAGACTGTACCTGCTCTCTGGTTTGAGGTTCTCCACAGCTGTATGAGTCTGGTTGGTGGTCAGAATGGAAACCTGTTCACCATCAGGACCTTTAGTAGTTGAGATAACCTCATATTCTGCGAAAAAAGACAAATGAAAAGGAAATGGATCAGGGATTGATCAAAGTTGAGGGTTAGTATTGACTGATCAAAGTTGACCAATCAAAGTTGAGGGTTAACATGGAGAGTGTTTAACTGACTCAGATTTCAGGGTTAGACTCATAAAAGTTGGGGGTAACTAAAAGTAGTGTTTGACTGATCAATGTTGACCAATCAAATTAGAGGGTTAGTGTTTGACTGATCAAAATTGAGAATTAGTGTTTTACTGACTCAATGTAGAAGATTAGTGTTTGATTATTCAAAGTAGAGGGTTAGTGTTTGTCCGGCTGAAATTGAGAGTTAGTGTTTGATTTAGAGTAGATGGTATGTGTTTGATCGATCAAAGTAAAGAGTTGGTGTTTGAATGATCAAAGTTGAGAGTTAGTGTTTGAGTGACTCAAAGTAGAGGGTTACTGTACTCGAAGTAGCATTTGTCCGATCAATGTTGAGAATGAGTGTTTTACTGTTTCAATGTAGAAGGTTAGTGTTTAATCGATGAAAGCAGAGGGTTAGTGTTTGTCCGGTTGAAGTTGAGAATTATTGTTTGACTCAAAGTAGATGGTTAGTGTTTGATCGATCAAAGTAAAGAGTTGGTGTTTGACTGATTGAAAGTTGAGAGTTAGTATTTGAGTGACTCAAAGTAGAGAGTGACTGTTTTATTGATCAAAATAGAGGGTTGGTTTTTGAGCAAATAAATCAAAGATTATTGTTTGACTGATCAAAGCTCACCAATCAAATTAGAGGGTAAGTGTTGGATGAATTAAAGTCAAGGGGTAGTATTTGACTGATCAAAGAATGTTAGGTTAGTGTTTGATTAAAGTCAAGGGTTAGTGTTTGAGTCATACCCTAAACCTCAGCTTTGATTCATCAAAGGCAAGGTTTAAATTCATTTTAACACCACAATATATTACACATTATATTCCTTAGATACAAATGGGTATAAACCAATAGACATTAGACCATGCTTTTTCTTTGACGATCCATCCCTTAATCCTACCTGTCGTCTCATTATCTGTTTTCTCCCAATCAAGAATAATGAAGGAGGGGCATCCTTCCACGGTTACAACAGTAAGGTTGGATGGGGGTGTTCTTGGAGGGTTGGTGACATTTTGCTCTCCAGCCTCCTCCTCAGGGAAGTAACTCAGAGAGGTGGTGATGGAGCACGGTTCGTCTGGCTTCTTATCTGTCTTGTAGACCACATGTGGAGCTGGACAACAACACATTTGTGTTTAAATTCAGATTCTTCTTTGCTTTGGCTCTGAAATTCACATTTGTATCATTGAGAGTATTTGGCATGCATGGCTACAGTAGTTAAGAAAGTCTCATTACCAATGTAGCGTTCTTTGCCCAGGGCATCAACTTTAGAAGCAGGAACAGAGCTGAATACTGAAGAGTTCTCCCATGTCTCAAATCGGGGTGCTAGGACACCAAACATTAACAGTGTCAACTATATTTATACACCATGTACTCAAAAGATATTTAACCTTCAGCAGAACATTGAAGATGATATTATAAAACATCCCATGAAGACAAACCTGTCACTGTAGGAGAAGATGTTGTCTTTGGTTTGGATGGTTTTGCTGTAACAGGTGGCAGCATGTGTTTCAAGATGGAAGCTTTGTCTTGACTCAGGCCTGTTGTCTTGTCTGCTTTTTACATAAACAAGTGAATGCACAATGTTTTAAACATAGCATCTTACCAAGCCGTTTAGTGTTAAATGGCAGAAAATAATGTCAAAGCACATTTTTGATTCACATTTGTGTGGTTTTAATTTGGCAGATTATGGGGTTCCATGAGTTAGACTAAAGTATTTTGTCTTTTAAGTTTAATTGACATTTTACCCACCTATTCCTCCAGGTTTGCTAACAAGATTAGGCTTTTTTGCTGGATTAGGAAGGCGTGCAGCTGGAGAACCTGTAATGATGAAAGCAAAAGTTATTAAGTAAAATCCTGCCAAATTCAGATATCGTACTCTCCCATTTCCTTAATCTGTTTCCACTATGAACTAACAAGCACATGGTAAGATGAAAATGGCACCAAAAGCTCTAGATCAGGTCAAAAGTAGCCCTTCCCTCTAATCACCACACATTCTCATAATATTCACACGTCTTTATCATGTTCTCTTAACTTATGATTTTATGAAAAACAGTGGAATACATCACTACCACCCTCAATTTGGTTGAATGACTTTCACATTTTAGTGAAACACCCAAAATGTGTCCCTTGAAAACACCTGTTTTCAAGGAACCATTTCTGTTATAGAGTCAAATATCTAACAATCATATAATATACCAAACTCCAACAGCAGAAAGTTGTTAACTCAAAATATATGAATTCAAAATATGGAACACAAGATGAAATGCCCTCATTCTGAAACACAATGTGGTCAAACATAAAATCTCTTAAAATGAAAATACGGCTTTCCAAATCTTTCTCCTATTCTATGGAAATTGGAGTATCTGATACTCTAAATAATACAATTGAGCATAATGCTTGTTTACTTTTAAAAACCTGCAATTTGGATGCTTTGCTAAATGAGAGTAGCAAATTGAGAGGTCAAACTCACTTGTGAAGTTAACAGCAAATTAAATCAAATTCCCTGTTTTCTTTCTGATTGCATGGCTGAAGTCTAAACATCGGCACTTCAACTGCCTTTCAAGCCTTCAGTTCGCAAGCCATAATGCAGTCCAGCCAAAAGCAAACAGGCTAGAGCATGTGGATTCTTCCCAGGAAAACTGATTCAATTTACATCCGTGGCACCAGTTGTGAAACCCTCAGTTCATCACAGGGCAATCAGAAGGAGCTCAGCTCCCTAAACCCTGTGTGGTATGAGTAAAAACTGCAAAGCTGGGTGGCGAAAAAAATATACTTTGCTTAAAATAAAACTAAGGACCAACAGATGTCATACTTTTGCAGAGGGAAAGTCATTTCCAGAGAGCTAGCTGAGATTTTTGGTGGTGATGCCCGATGTTTTGGGTGATCTAAAACTGTTGTGGTTAGATGATTTCAGGCAGTCACTGTCAAACAACTCTGCCGTAGGTCCTCTCTTCAATGAAAGCCACCAATCAGCCATGATCTCCTTAGAACTTTTGGTCAGTAGAAGAGAATTCATGTCAACAATTTGTGCTAATTTTGTTGTATTCCACTGTTTTTGCACAAGCTGTAAGTAATAAGATGCCAATCAACTGTGCCAGACCTTATTTTGTCTGTGATTGTTTTTTTTTAGCTTTTCTACTGATCATGGCAGCAGCAATTCATCAAATTATCAAATAATAGGGAATGGTTGTAAAACCAGACAAATATCCAGATTAAACACCCTATTATAAATTTAGAGAGCCACTTTACAAAGTACACCAGATTGCAAAAGTCTGCTGTGTTCTCCAAAATCAAGACTAATCAAAACTGATATGCAGATTGATGTGCAGATTGTGTTCAGCACATATTTTGTGGCTGTTTTTGTGCTGTTTATATGTATGTATATATATATATATATATATATATATATATGTGTGTGTGTGTGTGTGTGTTTTTGTTGTCTCTGTGTATAGAT